CTCCCCTCCCTGGCACTGGCCTCTCTCCCCAGGACCAGCCTTCCCCGCCCTCGAGTTCCTGGCACAACTGTGCAGCTCGCCTGACCTTCAGGGCCCGCCTCGCCCGGTGTATTTCTCCAGGCCTCATTCAGGTGGAAGAGGGAGCGCAGCCACTTGATTGGCTGGGAGGTGGGAGATGGTCCAGAATGGGGTGAGTCTCACAGGCTAGTGAGGAGGGGCAGGTGCAGGTGGGAGGAGGGCTGGACTGGACTTTGAACCCTGAGGAACAGGGAACAGATAAGCCCTCTGCTTGAATTAGCCACAGCCGGGAAGACACCTGCCCTGGCGAGCTTGGGCAGCTGAGGGTGGTGGGAGGTGCTCATGCTGAGCTGCTCTTGGCGAGGGTCCTGTCACTGAGCTCTGCCCACTCCAGGCTTCTGGTGGCACGCCTGCAGCCTGGGGCTGGGGACCTCCTCCCTCCCTCCGGTGCAGCTCGCCCCGTCTGAGCACCACCAGAAAGAGCGGTCTCCTCCTAGACATTCTGCACAGTGTATCGAGAAAGGGAACCATTCAGGGGTGTTCTTGCCTGTCCATGTTTCAGAAGGTGACCCCCCCCCCCATGAGAAGACAGCCTCTTGTAACCCTACCGCCCAAGCAGAGCATGGTCAGTATCACAGTAGTGGTGGCCACTGTTTGCTCAGAGCTGACTCTGTGCAGGGCACTGTGCAGTTTGTCCCACCCACCACTGAATCCTCAGTAGCCCAGGACACCTGCGAGGCAGGTGCTACTGTCACCCCCGCCTTTGAAGTGAGAGCGCTATTACCTGTTACTGCCAGCAAGTGGCAGAGCTGGGATTTAAACTTGGATCATCCTGTCGCCAAATCCCCTCCTCTAACCGTGGGCTTCACTGTCACCGCCTCTCTAGTGCCACATTGCCTCAGGCAAGTCCCTTCCCCGCCTTTGGACTCAGTTTCTCTATCTGTAAAGTGAGAGCAACACCCCAGTCTGGGAGCTGCTTTCTGGTTCTGACGTGCCATGATGCTTTTGAATTAGTTCTCTTTTAAAAAGTGAGAATGGTTATTTTGATTTTTCCTCATTATAGAGCTCACGGTAGAAGATCTGGAAAATTCAGAAAAATAGAAGGTAGAAAGAAAATCCATAATCATACCACCGAGGCGCGACTCTGTTAATATCTTCACGAATTTCCTTCCAGCCCTTTTCCTCTACACGCTTTTAAAACATGGTCGGAATCCTGGAGTGGATGTGATTCTGTGCCCTGCCAGCCACGCTTGGTTCCTGTCTACTCTCCGTCACCAGCCTGCCTGCCTCTTTGGCAGGGACTGTGGCGGGAGGAAGGTTCTAGACTGCTTTTCAGAGAGAGCTCTGTCTCAGGGGCATCACAACACAGGTGTTTTGGCTCAGCCTCCCACCTTGCAAGTTTCCAGACCACACGTAGTTCAAGGAAGATGTAAAAACACAGCAATGAGGAAACAGGCGAGCAGCTTCTGGAACCCTCGTGTTTGCTTGGTGTCCTCACACCCACTGCCTCGCTGGCCTCTTGCGTGTGGCAGCCTGGGAGCTGGTCTGGGCAGGCGCTCCCTGCGGTCACACAGAGGGCGTGAGGCACAGCCAGCCTGCCAGTGGGTCCTGCCACCTCAGGTCCTCCGTGTGACGTTCTAGGCTCTGGGGGTCCCCCAGCAAACCCTCTGCGGGGTCCCTTATACTCCTGGGGTGCAGAATCCCCAAATGGGGTCCCATTTGCTGTCACCCATTTTGGTGGTGCCAGCTTAAGGACGGGCATCTTGGCAGTGACCGAGCCTGCCCAGAGCTTGTTGTTGACCTGCCGTGTCCCGCAGACAGTCCTGTGGGGCAGGTAGTGGGGCAGGTGGGGACACCAAGGCTCAGCTTGCCTGCCAGTATGAGATGGGACTCCAGCCTGGGTCCCCGACTCCCGAGGTGGAGCTGTGGTGGTCACAGCCCGTGCCCTGTGCCTTAGGTGAAACGATGAATGTTAATGATAGTCACAGACCAGCGTGTTCCAGAGATCCTTCCCAGAGCGTTACGTGTATTTACTGTTTTTTTTTTTTTTTTTGAGACAGAGTCTCGCTCTGTTGCCCGGGCTAGAGTGCCGTGGCATCAGCCTAGCTCACAGCAACCTCAAACTCTTGGGCTCAAGCAATCCTCCTGCCTCAGCCTCCCGAGTAGCTGGGACTACAGGCATGCGCCACCATGCCCGGCTAAGTTTTTCTATATATTTATTAGTTGGCCAATTAATTTCTTTCTATTTTTAGTAGAGACGGGGTCTCGCTCTTGCTCAGGCTGGTTTGTAACTCCTGACCTTGTGCGATCCGTTCACCTCGGCCTCCCAGAGTGCTAGGATTATAGGCGTAAGCCACCATGCCTGGTCTGTATTTACTCTTAATTTTCTTACCAACTCTGTGAAGTGGCCACTTTTATAAATCCCCATTTTGCAGCTGAGTAAACTGAGGCCCAGAGATGAGGTTAGGTAACTCATCTAAGGTCTCATAGCTATCAAGTGGAAGCCAGATGATACCAGGTAGCCTGAGCTCTTTCCTGACCCCTTGAAGGTCTGCAGAGGTGGCAAAGGGCTGCTCCGAGGCACCCCCACTCCCTTGTCCACTTCCTCCTGAGACTAGTGGCACGTGTGTGCAAAATGGGGGCCACGGGCCTGTGTCCTTGCTCTGGGGCTCCCGGGGCCCAGATTAGCCTATAGCGGATGCCTCCCAGAGTCCAGCCCTGGAGTCCAGGAAGGCAGGGTGGCCAGAGGGCTGAGATTCGCCTTTGGGGTCAGTGCTCCCTGGCTTGAGTCCAAGTGTTGTCACCTGGTCCTCTTGCTTCTGCGACTGGGGCAAGTGTTCACTTCCCTGAGCCTCTGTTTCCTCCTCTGTAAAATGGGGTGTTAGGAGAATTAAACGGAATAACACAAATAGAGCTTCAGGCTCCATAAATGTTGTTGTCTCTCTTCCTTCTAGGAAAAGCCCTGGGCTTGATGTGTGGAGGGTGAGGGGAAAGGGGAAGGACCTCAGACTTTCTGGCCTGGGAGGGAAGGATCCTGGGGTTTGGCTCCAGGATGAAGTGGCAGTCTCTTTCTGCATCATCATCAATTGTACACAGAGCTGGGCAAGATGCCTCTCTTTTTCCTTCTTTTAAATGGGTATAAATCTCCCCAATTCTTCCCTCTCAGAGCTCTTGGGGCACCCCCAGAGCCCTCAGAGAAAGGCCCAGCAGACCTGGGTGGCGGTGAAGGAGCCCACAGAGGGGGCCGCCGCAGGAGGACTGCTGCACAGCTGTTTGATCTTACAGCTTGCGAAGGGGTTTGCAGGCGTTTCAGCTCTCTTTCCCAAGCCCTTTGCTGAAGAGAACGTTTTAGTCCTGAGAGTTTTCAGTGTGGGTTTAAAAGACAGCCTCACGCTTAGTGGAGAGTGTCCTGTGGCGTCAGTGGTAATGGAAAATGCATTTTTCTTCTTGGACCCAGCAGATCCACTTATAGGAGTGCCCCGCAGGCTCAGCCTTGCACTCGTTCCAGGCCCTGTGTGTGCAGGAGGCCAGTGGCCGTATTGTTTATGATACGACACCAAGAGCCCAAAGCAACCTCAGTGTCCCTTGATAGGGGTGGGTTATATATAATAAATTATGGTACATTAAAAAATACTATATATAGGTGTTACAAAAAAAGTGAGGCTGGTTTCTACATATGGTTCTGAAATCGTCACCAAGACTTAATCTAAAAAGGCAGTTGCAGCCCAGTGGGCGCCCTGTGCTTGCTTCCTTCTGCGTCAGCCAGGGCGCACAGGCAGACGCGGGTGTCTGCATCTGGCCCGTACGTGGAATAGTTCTGGAAGGATTCCTGAGAAACTGGTAACAGTGGTCCCTTCCAGGGGTTTAGGGTAACTGGAGTGGGAGGGAGACTGACTTTTTATTGCACACCCTTTGCGTTGTTGGAATTTCGAGAGGCGCTGGAGTATGCTCCTTGCATAATGAGCACAGACTCTGGGTCTCCATGGCCTGGGTTTGAACCCTGACTCTTCCTGGCTGTGTGGTCTTAGACAAGTTACTTAACCACTCTGGGCCTCATTTTTCTCATTTATAATTTGGATCAGTAAATGTTAATATTTATAATGTGCTTAGAATCATGTCTGCGATGCAGTAGGCACTACATGAGTGTTTAATGTTACTAATATTGCCATGTACACGCTTTCTGTTTTTATTTGGTGAGCCAGTTAATAAAGATAAAGTGAACAAGCCTGCTGCCGGCTTGTGGCAGGGGTAGATTAGCCTGGAGGGCTCAGGGCTTTCCCGCCAGCACCCATCCCCTCCCCTGGGGAGTCTAGAAGGACAGCCCCCAGCTCGGGATCGGAGGTGGCGGTAGGGAGTGAGAAGGCCTTCCCTCACTGCGTGGCGGCAGGGAACGGGGCTAGGATGGCTGCAGGGCCCAGGAAGCCTGTTGGAGGCGCCGGCCTCTGGGTAGTACGAGCCTCCGCTGGGAGGTGATAGCGGTGCCGCCTGGGGCAGGGAGAGACTCTGCCTGGCGTGAGCATGTGGGACCCTGCCCTCATCTTGTGCCTTCGGCCCCGGCAGCCCTTGGCTTCCTCATACCCATACGCCAAGGCCAGGTGACCCCTTGCTGGCCAGCCAATCCGTGGGGCAGGACAAGGAGAGTCAAAAAGAGCGTGGCCTTGGGCGGGACCACAGGAGGAGTCCAGCGAGGGTGGCCAGACCTGAGGGAGCCCGTGGTTCCTGGACGCTGGGGGTGGGGGGAGGCGCATCCAGCCTCCTCCGCGATGGTTCAGGTGTGAACTGGCTTCTGGAACGTGGGGGCCTGAGCGTGATCCTGGACTCTGGGGCTGAGGCTTACCTGTTAGCCAGAGGGGACAAGGAGGGGAGCCCCTGGAGCCCGCAGGCTCCCGAGGGTCCCTTGGTACTGGCAAAAGGAAGGTCTATGGCTGCAGGGGTTTTCTGGGAAGATGGGGTTTTTGGCTGTGCAGCTGCCGGTGTTTCTATGGTTGGTTAATGATTTATGATGGTTGGAGGCTGGGCGCTTTCTGGGGCTGCCCCACGCCCTGGCAGCTGCCGGGAAGGCGCGTGAGAGCTGCTAGGTTGGAGTGCGCAGGTTGAGAGGCAGGGACTCGTCTCTGTCGCTGAAACTTCAGCCTGAGGTCTTAATTAGGTTTCTGGCCTTCTTCCCACAGGCGTGCGGCTGGGACGGTGCTGGCCTGAGCTGGACCTTGTCTGATGGCTTCCTCCAACCCACCTCCGCAGCCTGCCATAGGTACGGTGCCCAGGGCTCCCCGCTCCTGCATGTCCTTCTGAGGGTGACTGGGGCTGGGGGAGGGCCCTGCCTTGGAGCATGCTGGCCCCAGGTGAGGGGCCTCACCGCTCTGCTCACGGTTTCTTGTCTGCAAAGTGGAAGTAATTCCCTTTTCACAGGGTAGGCTCTGGGCGAGGGCCACTCCTGTGCCCCTCTGTCTAAGATCCCCCAAGAGGTGAGCAGACTAGTCTAGGGACTGAGGTGCCCTTGGGCTGAAGCTCTTAAATCAAGGGTGGGGAACTGAGGTTGAGTGGAAGGGGCCAGGCCATGAGTCTGATCCTTGAGCAGTGGTAGGGGTGCCAGATTGAGCCAAAAAAAAAAAAAAAGAAAGAAAGAAAGAAAGAAAAGAAAAAAAGACATACTTGTGCTAACAGAATTATTCATTGTTTATCTGAAATTCCAATGTATTTTGAATTTGATGCCTGTGTTTGGTTTGGCAACTCTGGCAGTGGGCCCCAGACTCAGCAGGTGGAATCCAGACCCCGCCCGGGGAGCGCTGGACCCCAGGCTGTTCCCCACTGGCCCCTTTGGGGAGCCAGTGCTTTGTCACCAGCCTGATCCGAGTTTGAGCCCCAGCCCTGCCACTGAGACCGTGAGCTTAGTTCAGAGACGTGGTGTCTCTGTGGCTGGTTTCTTCATCAATAAACATGGGGAAAACAAGTACACCCTCTCCGACCTGTTGCAGACTTAAGTATGTGTCAGCCACTGGCATGTGGCAATCAATTGCTCAATGATGGAGCACTTATCATGCAGGGTGTTGGCAGGACAGACTGTTGTGCTCTGGTCCCCTGCTGGGTAGAGCCGATTGCCGAATCTCCCCACCCCGAACCCAGTGCTCTCCTCCGCAGGGCAGGGCCAGCACGGCAGACCCTCCTTCTCCAATGTGGTGGGGGCTCTCCAAGGTCCTCTGGCTCCTGCCCCTGCCTGGGCTGGTTCTCCCGAGGACTGGGTGTGTCCAAGAATGTCAGAGGCATCAGTGACCAGCTCCAGTTGTGCCATCTGTCCAGATCATTAGGAAGGGCTCTATTCAGCTCTCAATTATCCTGGGCTGGGCCTCCTGATCTTTCCCTCTGATAAGGAGCAATGACTGATTGCCTGGAGGGAGGGCAGCTGCTGGAAGGGGGCAGGCCTTGGGGACAAGCACACCTGTTTCCTGATTTATGACCCAGATTGGGTCCCAGGATGGTGCCCTGGTCCTTGCTGCCATGAGCACCCCGCTCCCTTTCTCCCACCCACCAAGAGGGCCAAACATGGGAAGTGGGAAAAATATTTTACAACTAAATCAATTCTGTTCTGTTCAGCAAATATTTGACAAACATTTATTATTCCAGCTCCATCTGATATTGCTGGCTAGTGTCATCTGATCGCACCGAGCTCTTTGCCATTTTCTGATTCTTCGAGAGCTCCCCGTCATCTTCCCAAATAAAGTTCAAATTCCTGAGAAGGGGACTCCTGCAAGCACCTTGTCAGCTGTCTGTGATCCTTGTGTCCTTGCTCAGGTCTTTAGTCCCATGGGTCGTTTGCTGTCCGTTCTCTGCTCCTGCTGCAGCCACAGCCTGGAGTAACCCTACCACCCCAGCCCCACCTGAGCCTGGCAGGCCTTTTCTCGTCCTTCAAGGCTTGGTGCAAGGGCAACCTCGCACCCAGAGCCTTTCCTGAAGCCCCAGTGAGCATGCGCCCCCTTTCTTCAGCACCCTCTACGTCTCTCGGGTTTTAGGTGTTCTCTTGCTGCATCCGCCTCCCTCCCTCTGCAGTGAGCTCCCAGACGATCAAGGACCATGTCTTACTTTTCCTGCAACCTCCTGGCCCAGTGGCTGTGCACTGGATGTGTGGATGACCGTCAGTGGGATAACTGAAGCTATGCGTGCTAATACTGTTAAAGGGAGAAGGCACAGAGGTGACCTGAGTCTCTGGACATAGCTTGAGTGGCCTGGGGCCAGGCCTGGCCTGTGAGTGTGGGAGGACTGCCCATCTCACCCCGGGGCAGGGCTGTGATCCTAACAGTAATAGTAATAATAATGGTGATAATGATGATGCAATGATGGTGACAACAATAACTAGCATCATCATCATAAGAGCAGCTGGCATTTAATGAGCACACACCTTGCACCAGGTGCTTCGTGTGTGGTAATTCTCTCCAGCCTCCCAGCAGCCCTCGAGGGGGTCACTATCACTGCCTCATCTTGCAGATCAGGAGACTGAAGCTTGGGGACAAGTAACTTGACACGCATACAGCCAGCGCCTGGGTGAGCTGGAGTGTGAGCTGAGCCCCGGTGGTCTAACCCGAAAACCCTTGTCACTGCAGTGACACCATCCTTGTGTAAAGGGAACCCCCCACCCCCTGCCCAGCAGATTCAGTCGGGCAAAGACTGAGGTCGCCGAGAGGTTGGGCAAGCCCTGTACGTCATGATGGGCCTGTATCTGGTACCCCCCAAATAGTGGGCAGGGACTTTGTGGTCACTTATTCCAGTATTTTTTAAACATTTAAAGCCACAACCCATAGACATAGCAATAGGAGTGTGTGTTGAACAAAAGCTTATAATACACCTACTGTGTGCTGGGCACTGCACTGGGTGCTGGGGAAGACAAAAGTGACCAAAACAGACAAAAATACCTGTTCTTATGAAGGTCATGTTCTAGTAGAGGAGACAGTAAAAGAAATAACATGCAGCATCACATGCTGATAAAGGCTGTAGAGAGAGAGACAAAGAGGCAAGGCAAACGGAGTCTCAGGGTGTCTTCATGGCAGCTTCACTGAGAGATGACATAAAGACCCTCGAGAGGTGAGAGTGGGAGAAGATACCTGGGGGAAGAACATTCTAGGCCCTGGAACTGCAAGTGCAAAGGTCCTGGGGCAGGAGCACGTCTAGCACATTCATGGTACAGGAAGGAGACCAGCCCAGCACGGCTGGAATGGAAGGAGCAAGGGGGGAGCTGAAGATTGTACACACACGTGCACGTGTGAGTGCACACACGCACACACAGTATCTACATACCTGGAACAGAAGTGTCAAATACGATATTCAAATTATATCAGATTATAATACAAATATTTTTAAGTATCTGAAATGGTTTAATGCCAAGTGTATTTTATTTGGTATTGTGATACCAAAAGTAATACCCAGTGTGATTTTGTTAATGTTATAACAACATTATTAAATATCTGAAACAAGCAATTCAAAACACAAAATAAAATGCTAATTGGGAATCCCCTAATTGATTTTTTGAGCCATGAATCCAGCTTCCTTCCCCACCCGTGTTTCCTTTGTTAATTTATCACCGCAGGCCAGAATGTCCGAGGGCTCAAGCCACTTGCAGGAGGGGCTGGGCTCAGTGGAGAGCGTAGCGCATGGTTGGAGCTGGGTTCAAATCCACCCTGCCCATCAGCCGCAGGCCTGCGGGTGCATTGCTTTGCCCCTGGCTCTCCGAGTCCCCGTTACGTGATGTGGAGGTGGAGGCGAGGCTTACACAGGACGCCACGTGGGCTCATGGAGCGCTTGTTTCTCCATACCTGGGGAAGGAGTCTGTGCCCGAGGAGTCCGCCCCTGCTGGCGTCGGCCCCTGGGATCCCCAAAGCCCCAGCAGGAGGGGCTGGGTCCCTCCCCCGTGGCCCTCACCTCTCAGGGGAAGTCGGGGACTCCCCGCCCTGGGGAGGGAGGGCACGCTTGGGGCTCCCGCTGCAGTTGATCAACCGAAGAAAGGGTTCTTACATTTGTACCTAAAGTATTCTGCTCAGGAAACCTCTGGGTCGCTGTGGGGGAGGATTGGATTTCTCTGGTCAGAGAGACTGTTGGGATCAGATGCCCGTCTGTCCATCTGCTGGCCCATCCGTCTCTCTCTCTGTTCTGTCCTCTTCCTACCACGCACTCACTGATCCATCTTAATCGTTATGACGCACCTGCTGGGCTGGGTCCGCAGACCCGTGGACTGGGCAATCCTGTCTGTCCCCAAGGATCCGAGGCTGGCAGGCAGACACTAATTACACCTGTTATTGTCACAGCCCTGTGTACGACAGGCACTGTGCCCAGGGCTGCACCTACCCCAGTGCTTCTCGGCTAGTGGCGATTTTGCCCTCCAAGGAGACAAATGGCAGTGTCTGGAGACATTTTTGGTTGTCATAGCTGGAGGGTGCCACTGGCCTGTAGTGGGTAGAAGCCAGGGGGGCTGCCGAACATGCTACAGTGCACAGGACAGCTCCTCCCAAAACAGAGAATTACCCAGCCCGGTGTCAGTGGTGCCAAGGCGGAGAAGCCCTAACCTGCGTCTCAGTTGCTGTCTCAGTTGATGTTGCTGTCAGTCTTATGGGGAAAGCGCTGTTTGATTCTTCAGTTTACAGGGGAGAAAAACAAGGTTCAGAGAGGTGGAGTGACTTACGCAGAACCACACAGTGAGCAGGGGGCCCAGAGTTGGCCATCTGAGTCCAGATGTGTTGCACGAGAGGACTGCTCAGGGTGGCTCAAAGAGGGGTGGGTCAGACGTTTAAAACCAGACCAGACTTGCCTTTGGCTTTGAAGCGGGTTTGTACGAGGTAGGAGATGGACTTAGTGAATCGCTATGGTTCTGTCCAGGCCCAGACTCTAGGAAAGATGTCTTGTAGGAAGAGGACCGGGGCGCCTCCGCTGGGAGAGTTGGCTGGAAAGGTGAGGGCTTGCTCTGCTCTTCAAGGTAGAGGATTCATTCCTTCAATAGTGCAACAAAAGCTGCTGAGCTCCCAGCCTGGGCCAGTCAGGGGGAAGTCTGCTCTCAGGGATCCTAGCCTGGGAGGGGAGTGCAGACGAGCACAGAGTAAACCGTTCACACGTCTGACAGGACTGGAAGAAGGAGACAGTCAGCAGGCAAGCATGGAGAAGGGAGGCAGGGCCCACTGTATCAGGGTGCTCCGGGTCTCTGTGCTTGAGCTGAGCTTTCACAGATGACGAGGAAGAAAGGAGGTCACAGCCACAAAGGGGTCTCCCAGTGGGGGAGAAGCAGAGAATGAGGCCCGGCCCGCAGACCTCCATGCTGGGACCTTGGCCCCTGCCCTGGCCGGTATGTGCCCTCACACCTGCAAGCTGGCTGCCTTCAAGCCCTTGACGTTCCCAGGCAGCTGTGTTTCATGCCGCCGTGCATACCAAATGAAGTGCAGCGTGCAGGACGTGTCTGTCTGTCCGCTCATTTGCACACACACAAAGTGCACAACACATAAGCACACACAGAAACACACATGGAGGCTTGTGCACATGTGCAGATGCATTTAAAAAGCCTGCTTGTTCACAAAACCAGGGGATGGGAAGAGGAAAGGCCTACATTCAAGTACAGGTGTGCACATACTCCCGCCTCCCCCCCTCCATTGCCACCACCTGCTTAGAGACCTGACCCAACCTTAGGAGCACAGCGGGGCCACCTGGCCTGAGTTTGATCCAGTCTCTGGGAACTCTCCTTCCCTCGGTCAGACCCTCAGTTCCAGCCCGTGCCCACTGACCCCTGCCATCTCTCCCTTGACCAAACCTTCGAGACCCTGCAGCCTGGCTAACTCCTCCTCTCTTCCAGGAGATCAGCTGGTTTCTGGAGTCCCAGGCCCCTCCCCCGAGCCGGAGGACGACCCTGGAGAAGCCTTTGAGTTTGACGACAGTGATGATGAAGAGGACACCAGCACAGGCCTGGGTGTTCCCGGCCTGTCTCCAAGGAGGGATGCAGACCCTCCCCTGATCGACTTCGACTCCACCCCTGTTACTGGTAAGGGATTTCTGGGAACCTTGGTCTAGGGGCTTACCGGGAGCACAGAGAACTGGCGGAAGCTCCAGGCTCCCAGGGATGCCTGGTGGCCTCTCTGCTGTCCCCAGAAAGCAGGAAGGGAAAAACCACTGGGAAGAAGCTGCATTCCATTGCTTCCCCTGGGAATTCGAAATTCCTAGCATTCCTGCAACATCTGGCGCACTTGGGCACATTGTAAGTGGAAGTGGTTGGCCGGGCTTTTCTTTGGAGACAGTGGCTGCCCAGAGCTTGTGTCTCTGAAGCCTTCCGGGGCAGCTTCTCCTGAAGAATCCACACCAGCCAGAATAGCAGCCTCCCTGAGGTCCCCTCTGCCGCCTGCCGGTGGTGGTGGGGGGCTGGGCAGCCCTGAGAGGCTGGAGGGCCCTGATAAGGCTGGAATTAAATGGCAGCTTCTGGGCTCTTAGATTCTGGGGACCGGACTAGCTGGAACTTCCTGTAGGCTTGGGGAGAAGGGCTTCCGGAGGAGGGCAGGCCCGGAGCAGGCGGGAGGCTGGTTGGGATGTGGGCCACAGGGTGGAGTGGGGGTGGTGCCGCAGGACAGGTAGGGGAGCTCCATGGATGACTGGGCTGTGCTGGGAGAGGAGGCAGGACCCAGCAGGCACCCAGGCTGGCCCGGGCCTGGCTGTGGCTCCCCGCAGGAGGCTGGGAAAGGGGCGGGGATGTATGCGGGGCCGCCTCCGCCTCCCGCCTGACAGGCTGTCCCTCTGCTCTTGTCCCACAGACCCAGACCCAGCAGCCGAGCCGCCTGGCACGGAGTAAGTGAACCTCACTCCTTTGCTCTGGAGGTTGGAAACGGGGAGACCAGGCAGGGGCTGGGGACAGGCTGGAGCCGAGGCCAGGAGGGCTCTGACAGGTCTTTGGCAGGGGTGGAAGGCATGTCATTTGAGACCCTTCGCCCAGGGGGAGGGGTCAGTCCCTAAAACTCATGCTCCTTTTTCCCTTCTTTTGCCCACAAGCCTGGGAAATAGCAGAAAGCAGCCTGGCTCCAAACCCCGCCTCTGTCCCTTGCTAGCTGTGTGGCCTTGGAGGAGTCACAGAAACTCTCCAGGTGTCATTCTGTTCGTACACTCCATTGGTTGTCGAGGACTAAACAGCTGTCTGGCATTCAGCACTGTGCCGGCCCGTTGTAATTGTTTCTGCTGTTGCCACTTGTTTTGCCATTCCCATTGCTTCTCCCTTCCTGTGGCACTTGTCGTTAGGCACCCTGCCCTTCTGTGCTTGGGGGCCTGTCAGGAAGGGTGGCCTAATGGTTAAATGCCTGGACGCTGGGGTGACTGTCTGTGTCTTGACTCTGGCCCCCACGCTGGCCATGGGTCTTTCTTGCGTAGGTCAAAGTTCTCCTGGGCTTTGGTTTTCTCATCTGTAAAATGGGTCATGGGGTAAAAAGCCCAGCCTCGCAGTAGGCGCCTAATCAAGGCTGTTACTTTTTTATCACAGTTCCTCTGTGGTCTTGGCAAGTCAGGTCTGGGTTGGATGGCATATTTGAGGCCGGGGATTGTGGAAACTAAGACCACTCAGGATGTGGGCACTTAGAAGGTCCCTGCCTAAGCAGTGGGGGATATAGGCCAGGGGCATCTGGGGCCCTGAGTGTAAATCCTGGCTACTATGGTGGGAGGAGGGGTGTTTGAGCCCCCTTTTGTCTTCCTGGAGTGAGCCAAGTGAGGGGGGCTAATTCTTAGGCAGGTGTCACCCAGGCAGGTTGCAGGCCTAGGGCCCCTGGAGGGGAAGGAGTCCCTGTATGTGCTCATTTGCTGTCCAGAGTGGGTGGACCTGGGAGGGTTTCTGCTGGGCTTGCTACTGTGTAATTAAGGTCAGAATTAGGGGCCATCCTCTCCTCCCTGATTAGGGACCTGAAATGAATCAGCAGCCACTGGTCCTGCACCTGGGCTGGGAGGTCTGTGATGGCTACAATCTCCCAAAGGATGAAATCCTCCAGGGTGGGCCAGGAATGAAGCTGCAGAGAAGCTTAGTCTGGTGGGGGATATAGAAATGTCACAGTGGGTCAGGGAAAGATGCCCAGGGGACAGTGACAGAGGGGGGCTGGGCCGGGGTGGGGTGAGGCCATCAGGGAAGACTCCCAGACCAGGTCTTGGCTGAGCAAGTGAGTATAAATTCACCATTGGGAATAGTGGGGGGTAGGAAGGAATGTCTGCAGGGAGGAAGCCCCTGGGCAGAGGTGCAGGGCTGGGGAGCATGCTACATGGGCAGCAAGCAAGTATACCCCTCCCTGGAGTCTAGTGCTCTCACTTCCCCCCAGCTACCCTCCTGCAGACCCAGTTGTCCTGAGCTCAAGTCAGGGGTCAGGAGTGCTGCAGCTGGGCCCTTCTCCGCCCACCATCCCCCTGTGCCCTGTGGCCCAGCAGTCCTGCTGGGTCCTGGAGACTTGGCTCCTGCCCTGGGCCCTGGTGACACTGCAGCCAGGTCACGTGTCAGGCGGGCTCCGAGGCCAAGTGACCCAGTGGCTCCCAGAGCTGGTGCTGCATGGGGTTGTTTTTCATCATCCTGATAGTTAGGATAGGTTAGCAGCGGCCAGGCATTTCCGGGCAGGGAGAGGGGCTTGGTCTCTGCCTTTAACCCCCTGCCTGCCACTCCGCAGCACCACAGCCTGTCCTAGGCTCGGCCTGGAGTCACCCCAGCTGCCGTGAACCCCGTCTCCTGGAGGCACAGTGGGGCGTGAGCTCGGAGGTTCTGATCCCCACTTGGCCCCTCGCTGGCTGCGTGACTTTGGGCTACCTGTGGGCCTCCCCGAGCCCCAGTTTCCCGTCTGTTAGATGGAAATAATAACGTCCACTTTGGAGTGCTGTGAGGAACAAGTGGGAATGGCCAGGAGGCTCCCCGCTCTCCTAAGTGAGCACGTCGTGTGTATTTCTGCTCCCGCCTCCTGCCCAGTGTGGGTGCTTCCAGCGGACAGGCGGAGTCTGTGTGCCCGGCACCGGCACCGTGAGCCCCGGGGCTGGCTGGGTTGCTGGGGGCTGGCGTCTCACCAGCAGCAGGAGCGATCAGCATCGCTTTTGAATGCCCTGAACTGGGCATTAGGGCTCTTACCGTCATTTTCTGGAGAACATTCATGGGGCATGTGCTCCCTGCAGAGCATTTGTTAGGGGAGGAGTTGGTCCCAGGAGGCCTCCAGTCCAGCCTCTCAGTCTTACCCAGGGGGAGGCCATGGGGTGGGACTTGCCGAAGCTCAGGGAGTGAGAGGCCAGCAGCCTCCTGACTCCTCGTCCAGTGCTCTCCATGCTGCCCCCAGCCCTGTCCCCTCCCTTCCAGGTCCCCGTTTACTTACGTTCCAGCTGCTTCCTGGGTGGTGATTTCCCACTCCAGAGCCTTCTGGGAGAAGAATTGATCCAGGCCACTTTCTTCCTCCTCCGTTATCCAAGAGAAAGGAAGAAAAAAAAACATCTTAATTTTCCTTTTTTTGAAGTTCCCCAAAGGTGGTCACTAAGCAAATACTTTTGAAGAAACAAATTTCAAAGTGGAGAACATTTCACCTCTTCTCACTGCTTTTCCTCCTCGACCCCTGCTGGGAGGTTTGGAAATGGCCTTGGGCTGTGTCTGGCTGTCTACCTGGCCTCGGGCTCCTCATATGCCCAGATCCCAGAGCTTTTGTCGAAAAGTGACCTCACTCCACCTCACTCCACGGCTGGGGAGGAAAGGAGACAGGGCCAGTCCCCCCTTACAGCTGCTGGGGGTGCGGGAGTGAGCCTGCCTGGCAGGAGAGGGGTTGGTGGTGAGAGCTGAGTGTGGGGCTCAGGGCCTGAGCCACATGGTGCCAGCTCCAGGACTTGGCTCTGCTGCTCACTAGCTGTGTCGTCCAGCAAGTTGCTTCCTGTCCGAGCCTCACTTTCTTAATCAGTAAAATGGGGATAATGAGCCTGCTCTCCTGCAGGGCTGTGTGTGGAGTAAGTAAGCTGACATAGGCACAGGCTTCGTCCGGCCTGCACGTGCTAGCTGCTCGAATGTATTCACAGCCGTTGTTCTGGAGCTGGGTGGCTCTGTGCCCCTGGGAGTCAGACAGACTGGGGTTTATCACCGGCAAGCCGTGGGACACGGGCTGGCCCCCCACCTCTCGGAGTCTGTGTCCCCTGTCTCCACAGTGAGGAGAACCACACCTCGGGGCGGGTGGTCACGAGGATGACTGAGGCCGATCTGCAGGCCAGTGACCTTGGCAGCAGCTGCACTGAGGACGGAGTGGGGGTGGGGTCGGCTCTAGCTTTGAGGCCGGGGACCTCCCCGTCCTGTCCCTTCGCCTGCTTTGCTGGGTTGCCGAGAGGGGGCGGCCAGGCTGCTGTGGGGTACACGGAGCTGCTGGTGTTGCCAGGCGTGTGTTTTGGCCAAGACCCAGGGGCGATTTTAGAGTTGGGCCACCCTGCTCAACAGTCCCAAGGGGTGAGGATGGCTGAGAGCTCGTCCGCCCCACTGCTGGGGAAAAGCAAGCATCAGAGTGCTCGGCTAACTGGTGGCACATTCTCTTTCCCCAATGGGACATATCTGTTAGCAGATAATAATAACAACAGCAAATAATAGTAGCAATAATATAGTAATGATCATGTGTGCTGCATACCAGGCACTGAGCTAAATGCCCAGTCCCACTTACTCCTCCCATCTCTGGGAAGTAGACACTGTCATTACCCATTTTACAGATGGGGAAATTGAGGCTTATGGGAGTGAGGTGCTGTGTCCATGGTTACATGTGGATAACACATTGAGAACCAAGGCCCTGCTGACCCGGAGGCCAGGTGCCCGCCACTGTCGCTTCCCTGCCTGCAGGAACTCCCGCTTTGGTGCCTGTGGGAGGGGGTAGCCACGTCCATATGCATGCCTGACTGTGTACGTGTTGGGTAAGGATTCTGCCTGCTCAGGGATGACCTCTGAGCTCTCGGGAGAGAGGTTTCTAAGTAGTGGGTGGAATGTTCCATGGACCCCACCTGGGGAGCCGCACTTGGTACTGCCTGGTGCGTGATTCTGGGTGAGGCCCCTTCCCTTGGAATGGGAGCAAATGAAAGCAGCCTCTTCCCTTCTCTCTCCCCACGGAGGTCTTGTGAGCGTGGGGGGGTGGTGTGGAGGTGTGTCTCCCACCTGCAGTCACCTCCCTGGGGACAGGGACACTTTCTGTTTTTCATAGGGGGAGATGCTGTGTCTGCTACTGTACTCTCACGGCTTAGCTGTGCAGGCACAGGGTGCGGGTGGACTTTGGAGCCCAAGCACTCATGTCTACCCTGAGCTCTCCCGGGGGAGTTGTGGTTGGAAGGGCAGCCCCGGGCACCCAGCGGTGGCCAGGAGACGTGCATGCCCAGGGTCACTGGCTTCCTGTGTTTTTCCTGGACTCAAGTCTGCACCTCTCACCTCTAAGTGCAGCAGCGCCGTGGACTCCGGCCCCTGCCGGGTTGTTTGCTTTTCCTGCCCAGTTCGGCTGTGTCCACACAGAGCCCCTGTGGCCTCGGCATTTCCCAGCGGGTCAGGGTTTCAGCTACTGACCCCAGCCGTGGGGGCCCTCACGGGCACCCTGGAGGTACCTGTCTTGCCCCTTCCTGGGCTTTTCTGGACAAGATGGATTGTGCTGTCCATTGGGCAATGTCTCCCACCTGGGCTGGAGCTGGAGGGAGGAAGGGGGCAGCCGGATTCCTGGAAAGGATGGGAGACCTGTCCTCCCTGGAATGATTGAGGAGCTGAGAAGGTCTGGACATGTGACCAGGCTCAGAGAAGCAGCGTTGGAACATAATAGACACAGGGCGCTGGTGGCCTGTGGCTTCTGAGG